ACTGTATATATACATACACAAAATGGAGTAATGGTGCCCCGATTCTATAAAGAAGTGAAGATACATCTACAGTATTTAACTGCCAGCATGTCCACTGGACCAGCATGGAGTTAAATAAATATCCTCCTCCTCAGACCAACAATTAGTATATCATTACCCAAAATTCCAAAATGTATGAATATGCTTACCCAACCTTTACATTTGTGTTGGCCATCTTTAGTGTAGTCAATAAAAACAATGGTTTATTTTTGGTATTTGTGATGGAAGTGAGAAACGTAGCTACCTTCTATTTCTTTTCTCCTGCATAGTTTAGTCGCCTTACTCTGCAATTTGTATCCACAAGAAGCAATGGTGTCAACACTCAGAACTGTGTGCATGTACCAAGGCGGGGCCACTACTATGGAAGCACAATAAGTATGTGCAAAGTTCAAATTACAGTCACTGAGGTTTTTTGTGCAAGAGAGTGATTGGGCTGTTTGCTGGCTGGTCCTGGGCAAGCCAATCTATGTAGTGGGATTTTTTTATACAGTGTTTAGTTGCGATGAGAAGGACCTGGAGGGGTGGGGTAGAAGATGGGCTAAAAAAAACTACACTAACATTTTAAAACTGACACTATTGACCATATTGGAATTTTATATATCTGCTTTTTTATATAGCTATATACTTACTCTCTACTCCTTCTGTCCCCTTTGAGTTATCTTGATATAATAAGTGAGCAGTTTGAGGTATGATTATCGACTCTATAGTGAATTCGGGGCTATTAGTTGAACCAATTCCATTGTCCAAATCTGTGTCTTCAAAGGAGGACTTTCCATAGTCTTCTTTTAAATATAAATAACAATGAATTAAATTAAACTGTGCAACCTTATTTTTATGTAAGTCATGAGTTAGACTAGTTGCATTATTTGATTGGGGTTGAAATTTATAAAACGCACATCTATTACATTATTTAATATATAGTAAGATGTATGGTATTCATATACCGGAATCCTCCAAGCAGATATCAAGTCCCAATGTTTTAGTATTATAAAATAACTGTGCTCACTTTTAAGACGATAAACAGAAACTAAAAACTTTTTGTTGGGTGAATCTGTTAAAAAAAAATCTTAGGAAAGCCTTAAGTAAGACTGAAATGTGGTTAGACAAGGTAAAGACAAGGTAAAGACTTACGTTTCTCCTCATTAGAGTTTTTTTCCTCAGATGAATTATGACTTCCCCTATGTTTTCCTTCATGCTGCCCATGTTCCTCTTGGCTGCCACGGCCATGAACTATTTGGATTATACAGTAACACAATAGATTAGGTTAGCTAAAGACCAACACTTAAACTTAGAATAGGAATGGCTTAGAACATCTGTCAACTTTTTGGGGTATCTCACCTCGCTTTAGGTCTATTTTAGGTGTCAGACAGACAACTGAGGGGAAATCCCCCCAAAAAGACATTTTTTATAGTTTTATATATAGTTGTCAGACAGAGCAGGAAAACAGGACAAATATAAAGTACATGTCAAGACAAAAAAACATTTTTATAATTTATTATAGAGTGGGAAAGAATAACTGCTACCCAAGGCTCCATTAGAGAGATTTACCCTCACTTCCTGTCCTGCCAACAATGGCTTCACCAGACAAGAAGACAAAAGTAAAAATCTGAAAGGGGTTCTATCCTTTCCCTACTAAAAAAAATCAGAAAGTTCACCTTATTTCCTGTCTCTTTTCCTGTCCTTATTTCCTGTCTTATAAAACGTTGTCAGTAGGCCAGGAAGTAAGTGGAAATCTCTCTAAAGGAATGCTAGAGAATATTACAAATCTGACAGCCAATGTAACCCTTCCCTACACAAAGTTTCTGACTTGGCATACACTTCAAAATTTGATAAAGGTTCTAACCCTTCACCAAAAGTCTGTAACAGTCCCCTGTAGTGAGAAACACTACTGGTGTAACATCATCACCAGGTTTGTAAAATATTTGCAGGGACAGATGCTGGGAGTTCAGTTCCTATTGATGTAGGC